CAGTCTATTGTTTGTTTTGTTTTCCTTTGTTTTAGACTAAAAGCAAACTAAGTAAAGGATTTCCTCTGTTTCATGACAAGTAAACTTATTTTGTTAATAGAAGGAAAGAAGAATAAAGTGGAAAAAAAAGATCCATTAACGTTATTTATTACTTCATAAACATAATGGAAGGGAAGGCAATGTACATAGACAGTTTAATCAAAATAATGATGTTTAAATACAATGTTAATTATTCAAATGTTTGATGACGATGATGATGATAATCTGATAAGCAATTAACTGAATTTAACAAAAGTGTTAAGAATTAATCTTCATTTAGTTGAAAGTAAAAGTGTTCTATCCCGTGGAGAATTATGAATGGTAACTTTGAGAACTATTTATAGACTAATGTGATATGTATATTTCCTATTGTATAATTATTAAGTAACTAAACTATTCGTATTCGTGTCCCTCTTATTATAAGCTTCATTTTGACTTATAGACTATTATTACTGCACGATTTACCATTCATGAGTTATCCCCAGTCTATTGATTACTGTTCCCCATATTCACAGCCACATTTAGCTGAATTTTGTACATATGTCATTTTCTATATTATGGTACGATGTGGTCAGTTTGTTTGGTTTATGAACTCAGTATGTTTGAGAATAATGACTCATATTGTAGAGGCTGATATTGGTGTTCTGGATTTAACTGACTGGGCTAGGCAGAAAGCAAGACTGATAAGTACTCAAGACTGCTCATATGGGTTTTTATAACGTCTTATAACGTCATATATTAAACAGCGCATGCACTCATGCACTCGGTATAACAAAAAGAGTCATTCAAAAGAAGTAAATAGTTTTTGTTTAAAAAAATAAAGTGTTTTTTTTCAAAGTTGAAATCATGAGTCAATTGAAGCTAGACCACCATCGAAAACCTGGAAGCACTGGACGGCCGTTTCGTCCTATTATGGGACTCTTCCACTGAGTCCACTGAGGTTTTCCATGATGGTCTAGCTTCAATTGACTCACGCTTTCAACTATGAAACATACTAAATCTCCACAAAACCCCTTCTGATAAGTTTATTTAACTTTGAAAATTTCGTAGATAAGCCTACTATTTCGTTATATAAAACACTCCAGCTATATTACTCTGTGTCATCCTTCCATTTAAGGTATTGTACCAATTAATCCACCTTATATCGACTTTACTATAGAATAATACCAACTCAGAAATTCTATCACAATAAGCAAAATTCATTCTATCTTATGTCAGATATAAAACTTAACACTAATAAGGTCGGTTTATATGATTTGAAAGCAAACCATATCGTTTATATAGACTTGATATAGCTCTGAATTCTCTCATTTTCATATTTAAAGTTCTTTGAAAATAGTTTAAGAACTAAAATTGTGTTTTTTCATATTGTTGGTTCACAGGACTAAATCGGTATAATGTGTTCTTGAGGGGATCCTTTAATGTTGTCTACGATGGAATTTAAAAAGTGAATTTTCTCCATGAATAGAAATATTGAAATGTGAATACATCCAGGTGACAAGTCCCAAATTTGACAAGAAATAAATCTTTGATTATAATTTAAAACTTTATGTATAAATATAATACTGTACACATTTACTCAGTTTGGGAAGATTGTCCATTAATTCTTCCCTTAAAATAAAAGATTTAAACCATTTTTTAACATCTAGAATGTCAACAAATAGATTCAAACTGAAAAAGGATTTTGTTCATAGACTTTCATCACTCATTTAAAAATCAATCTGATAGAGATTGAATTCGGTCAAGCTTTATATAAAAAAATCTTCGACGTTATATTCACGTATGCATTGATGTGATGGAGGTAAAGTTATGTCATGGAGATGAACTGGCCAAACTTGAGGGATATTATGTCATATATTATTAATCAAGCAATGATTCTGACTATCAAGTTAATTATCAATAGTTTTAATGAAGACATTATAACCGGGCACATCTAGAACGTTGGATTAACATTATATATTTTACTATCAGTGTGTTATTTTGGTAAACATTTTGATTGGAATTGAAAATCGACAGTTTTTCGCTAAAGTTTACCTATATAGTGAATATTTACAGTTTCGCAGTTTGACAACGTCATAAACTTTTGGCCATACTACGTGTCTACAAAATTTTAATTTATCTGAATTAGGAGGTGACTACAAAATGGGAATCTGTAGACTACACACTTTACGGACTAATCACAGACACAATATTACTAAAAACAAAAAAAAACTTTGGATAAGTATTCAGTATTGAGCACATAGGAGATGATTCGGGATCGAATCCAGTACATTCACGTCTTGAAGTGAGCCCAAAACCACTGGACACATTTTGTTGTATATATATATATATAAATTAAAAGATTGTGGAAACTAATACATAATCTTTCTTAATTCCAGTCATATGTGATTGCCGAAATACACTAAATGTATCCATCTGACAAGAACCTACATTTCACAACAGTACGAAATCAATATCATCTTTCAATTGAATTAAACCTCAAGATATCGTCATTTGACAGAGAATGACAACATTTTTTATTAGTGTACAATGTATTCAAATCTCATCATGCACTGCGCAAATTCTTTGAATTATGCAACACAGTAAAACGAATCTATTATTTTTAGAAAAAAAAGGTAATGTCATTTTTAAATACAAATAATATATACGAATATTCGTCAAGATTAGAACGAATAGTTTGACAATAATTGGGCGCCGAGTATAGAGAATTCATTATATGTGAAAAAATTTTATATTTGAAATAGTCTCAGCAATTGAAATTTAAATAATTCCAACGTTTCGTCCAGCTAACTTGTCTGGACTTCTTCAGGGAAATAATGAACATATAATGAACAAATAATATATTTGTAAAATCTTAATGAATAACTTTGAAGTCAATCCAACGTTTCACCTAGCAATCTGGTCTAAACTTTTTCAAAAGAAATATAATCAAACATGAAAGTTATCGGCGTCTCAAATAATGTGAATGTCATTTTCAGTTTTAAATCAAGTTTTAAAAAAAAATGAATCTAAGCAACTTTTTATTATAAAAATTTACTTTTTTTGATAAAACAGTCAAAATTCAACTGACCAAAAAATGAAACCAAAAAAAAAAATTAAAGGAAAGATTTATAAAAACTAAATTTTTTTTTCTTCAAATTATTAAAACAACAAAGGAATTATATATTTCCTTGAAAAAACCTTAAACCAGATTACCAGGTAAAATGTTGGATTGACTTTAAGTTCACTTTCGATGAGATTTTAGAAATATACATTATTCCTATTTAATGTCTTATATTAATTTGGCGCTCAAATACTATGAAACCGTCATTAAGATTTCAGTAGTATTAATATATCAGATTTAAATATATTTGCATTAAAAATTATTTATGATAGTTAATTTTAACAAAATATAATAATAAATAGTAAAATATTTAATAAGCTAGATGAAAAGAAAAAAAAAGTTTTTTAGTTGAAAAGTATTACGTCATAGAAGGGAAATAGTTTAAATTTTGAAGGGCATTTTAAAATGTTAACCATTAAACATTTAATATCAGAAGGGTTTTTTTTATTGTGTGGATAATATAGTAATTTCAATGCTTGAGATCATGAGTCAATTGAAGTTAGACCACAATGAAAAACCTGGAAGCACTGGATGGCCATTTCGTCCTATTGTGAGACTGTGACCAGTGGAGTTCAATCAAGTCTGTTGTTAGATAGTAACCTGTTGAAGACAATGATGGATATGTCACTGAATTACGTGGATTAATTGAAGTTAAACATTAACACGCATGGATGCTGTCTCAGTGGCCTAGTGGTTGAGCGTTCACGAGTGAGATCAATAGGTCCTGATGCGCACAGCTGACAAGTCTTACAATGAGACGAAATAGCCGTCAAGTGTTTCCACGTTTTCCATTGTGATCTACCTTCAATTGACTCATAATCTTAGCTATTAAATATCATTAAATATTTAACAATTTTAGACTTATACATTCATATTATGTTTAGGAATTAATCAAGAGTGTAGAGTAGAGTTTAAGTAATTTTTATGAAGATATATGCATGTACTCCATAGATAACATTTTCTTTATATTGCTAACCAGTATTTCCCATAATTACTGTGTATATACAATAATAATGAGGTAACAATGATTTATAATGTATTTTAGACTTTTAAAAATTTCATTCCCAGAGATTAGTTGGGTTTTATGGTTGATTATTCAAAGTGATAATCACTAATCTTCACTGAAATAGTTTTTATTACAAAATTACAAGTGAATGTTTTAAAATTATGAAGAAAGCGAAGTAATAGACTAATTTATAAATATCATCCAATATATCTGAATTCAGCTTAAATTGATATCATGAATCAATCAATATTAGACTATCATTGAAAACTTTGAAGCACTGAATGGCTATTTCATCCTAGTATGGGACTCCTTATCGTGTGTTCATTAGTTACTGCCTTGAAGATGATTTCTTGAAGTTCATTCGTATCTACTGTGAGGTAACTACTCATTGAAAACAATGGAAGACGGTCGTGCAACATTATGGAATGGTTAAAGATAGACATTATCACCGTTGAATTTCAGCGTAGTGGTCTACAGGTTAAGCGTACACGCACAAGACTGAAAGCTGTGGGTTCGAGTGCTGCATGACGGATCTTGCACGTGCACTACTGAGGAGTTACAAACTAGGATGCATTGGTCGTCCAGTACTTCCAGGTTTTCAGTGTTAACCTGAAATTGATCCATTCATGATATCAATCACCATAACACTTTATTGATAATATCTGAATTCATTGTAATGATAAATCATTCAATAATATATATTTATTTGTTATATCATAATGAATAGAAAGCTATCGAATCCAACTTTGGCACTGATACCTGTAAACTTATAATTCGTTCAAATTGAAATAAAAGAAGTTAGGTTACAGTTAATAAATGATGAGGCAAACAACACATAAGAAACTAACTTACCTTATTATATGTTCTCCAATTACGATATTTTGCTGGTATTTTCACTAAACAAAATCTATCTAATGTAATTAAAAATACCGTGTATTGACTTGTTAAACATGCTGAAAAATCTAATGATAACCATAAATCACAAATTAAATGACCTAATGGCCAATAACCAAGTAATTGATATGTAATAAATAAATTCATAGAAAATAATCCAATTAATACATCAGTCATAGCTAATGATGCTATAAAATAATTACTTGGTATACGTAATGAACGTTCAATAAAAAATGCAATTAATACTACAATATTACCACCAAGTGTAGCAGTTGATATTATTGTTGCTAATAGTGCTATGATACTTGTTGTGAATGGTGGAAAAATACTAGCAAATGTGTAATTCATTAGCTGATTAAGAATTATTATGTTTATGTCTTATTTTTGAAGAGAAAAAGAAAATAATATTCGTCTTTGAGGCGATGAATTTCTTGTTATTCAAATAATGATCAGGATCAACGATTGCTTTTGGCTATAAGTGAAAAGGAAAAAAGAAAATGAATAGAAATGATAAATGTATAGAATTTCAGTACAATGAATACTTATGTCAATAGAAATTTGAATGGTTTAATAAGAAGATGAAGATTATCAAAAGTGTTTTTAAGTACAGAAAGTGGATTTTGAAATTTCGTATGACCGATACTTGAATAAACTTGAGTATACACTCTGGATAATCTTTGTGCAAAATCACAAAGAGTGATTTAACATCAGTCTTATGACCAGTTTCAGCTATGAGTTTAATAATAGAGAATGCTGGATACTTTTTTATCTGCTCTTATTAGGTAATTTGGTTTTATTTGTTTCTGTAGCCATTTTGGTACATATTCAGAGGCCATTACATGCAAATCTTCTCTTTATTTATGTCTGAGCGCAGATACATGAAAATTGATTAACATATTGGGATTTGATGCAACCATTTACGTGTTGTTTAGGTAGCCAAGTGAATGACGGTATGGTGTTTGAAGCAAACGGTACTGGGTTTGAATTACAGAGTGAGCACCAACTGTGGGATGCAAATACATCTATCTGACTCGTCCCAAATAGGATGAAACGTGCTTTCTGAATTCCACTTCTAGCCACCATCCATCCCCACTTATAAATAATGTCTTTGTTTTATTACATGTCATTATGGACAAATGATCGTACAATTGTATAATTTTAATAGTACAGACAACACAGGTAATATTGATCGCTCTCCAAACTTAGTCCTATTTTTCATAGTCTACCATTCTTCCCCTTAATTTTACCTTTGTGTTAGGTTGTTGTTGAGGTTTTAAACCATGACACGAATCAAATAGATGAATGGTTCGAGCGTGATATTTTGTTAACTTCGATTTATTTGAAGTATACAATTGTAATGAGTTAAAGTTTACTAATATTTCTGTTTTTATTCGCTTGGATAACAGTGATTATCAAAAAAGTCACTCTAACATTCACTTGGTTCAATTATTTTATTATTTATGACACAGTGATTAATAGTGTTAGGTTCTAGTGTCTTTAGGACTAACTTGATTGTTCATATGAAAATAGAATGTTTAGTCAGTGTATGCCAGCTACATAATCGAAAACAAAACAAAACATGTATTTCATTCTTTCTACTGAATCTGTTGTAAAATTCAACATAGAAAACAAACATAAATCCTTGCAACTGAAACTTGAACGGGATTATTTCAAAATTAAACAAATGGTTAACTCACTTCGTATTGTTTGCTTTGATCTTCCCAACAATGGGAAGATTCAAATAAACAATATCAAGTGAATTTAAACTTCACCACATTCCACAAGTTAGTGACTATCAGGATTCAGTAGCTAAGTGGATAACCAGATGGATTTTGAAGCAAACGGTATTGAGTTCGAGTCTCAAAGTGAACATCAACTCTGGGATGCAGGTACATCCAACTGACTCGTCCCAAATAGGACGAAACGCGCGTCCTGGATTCCACTTCTATCCACTATCCATCTTTGCTTAGACACTGTGTACCAGCAAGGCATCTAGTTTACTAAAGAAATGTTTCCACTGTTTTATTCTTTTGTCTTCTGAGTTAGGAATTTAAACAATCATTCATTCACTGATTTACCATACTAGAAATACACATCATAATTTAGTGAATTTTCATGCTTCATGTTAGTCTAAGTGTTCATGCTTAAAATAGGAATCGAGACAAGGTTTTTCCTTCTCGTCTGTTTTGTGCATAACTGCCCCGCTGGGACGTTTACCTGCTGACAATATTATTATGAATTAATGTTTTTTTTAATCAATTACTTTAGTTATCTTATAATTTATCTAATGTAAAGAAATTCTTAAAGGTCACTTATGTATAGAGTTTCACTGTAAATAAACCAACCTGTATAACAGTTAATAAATCATAAACCCATCATACATCTTGTCCAATAACTTAAAAGTTGCAGAATATTTTCTGCTTTTAACTATTGACGAAGCTCAATGGGAGGTTTAATAGTTCAATTAAGTTTTTATGTATTCAACCTTTATTACTAACTCGGAAAAAAATTAAAGCTATAGTGGTTTACCCAATGGTATCATGATTAGTTTCATCATAGATCAGAAACTATTTATACTCAATGCTGAAGGACTGTATGGTGCACTAAGCTGACACCAAATAATTCATTATCTGGTGATGAACTGAAGTTATCATGTTGAAATTGATTTGAGACGTATATTCTATCCTATTTAGGACTGATAAACTTGATGTAACCAAATCATGGAATCGACTGTACAACTGTGACTAAAGCACATGAAAACAATGAACAATAATTTTAATGTTAGTGTAGTCATGATAATATAATAAATTGATGAGGTACCCAATTCTATTTAGATATACGAATAAAGACATCAATATAAATAAAACCACCTTCAATTTATGAATATCATTATTTTCATTAGGAGGGTTTTTTTTGTGGAGATTTAGTATTTTCATAGTTGAAAGCGTGAATCAATTGAAGCTAGACCACAATAGTAAACCTGAAAGCTCTAGACGGCCGTTTCGTCCTCTTATGAACTCCTCAGAAGTGCACATCCACGACCTCGCCTCGTGAGATTCGAATTCAGGACCTACCAGTCTCGTGCCAAAGCACTTAACCGATAAACCACTTAGCTGGTCGGCATCCAACGGTGTTAATGTCTAACTTCAACGAAACGCGCGTCCTGAATTTCACTGTTAACCATTATCCATCCTTGCTTACAATGCTTGTGAATTAAGGTTATATCGAGGCAATACGCACAGTATGCACATATGCCAATTAGAGACTGATCATTTGCTGTCCTAACACGTCAATTGGAAGATTCAAACAAACAATACTAAATGAATATTTAGTTTTGTACTAAGTTGACAATATTCTAGAACTTTTTATTTTGGAAATAATATAATTTTCACCAGACAAAGTCATTCATAGCTGTGAATGTAAACAATAAACATATTCATTATGTATTTTCAGACAGTAGACAATATATCATATCAATAAGATATAATCTAAAGACAACACCATGAGGCGTAAAGCTAATACAAATAGGCTTTTCAATGATTACGTTACTTTTAAACCAGTAAGTCAGAAGTAAATAATCTGTATTTCTAACTTCAATCAATTCGTGATTTATGGGAAGAAATATTCAGTGTCTTCTACGTAACTCTTATTATTCCAAGCTAAAGTGTTAAGGTGACAAGCTTGCTGCAAGTCTCGAACTTTGTCATAAAACACAAACCCTCAACATGGCATATGTTTAAGTATATATATATATATAACATTTAAACAACAATATGGCAGATTTAACTGACATTCCGAGTGAGGATATCAACAATTCCTGACTGTTTTTGAACACAGCTATCTTGTGATTTGAATGTATCTTAATGAAGTAGTTAATAAATATTTTCAATCTATGATTTCGAGATGGTGGAAAAGATTTGTATATCAGGTGGGTGATTTTGATGGAGTTTTATTCTCTAACCGAAGGTAAACAATGATACTTTCAATTATTACATACAAACGGTTGTATAGTTTTCATTTATGATCTGTTCAACAACAACAACAAGAAAATATGATAATTGTTAATTAACTATTGATTTTATATGATTGTATGATCTAAACTATGTAACTTATTAATTATTCATATTAGTGACAATAAAGATTGATGTATTACAATAAGAAAGGATCTACTCCTGAGTCCCATACGATAGTTTTTATCAGATAATGTGTATAATGAATAATTAATGTTTCTTTTCGATTTTCTGTATATTGGAGATTAGTTATACATTTGTTTATTTAATCCAAAGGGGGTTTTTGTAGAGATTTTAGTAATTTTATAGTTGAAATTATAAGTCAATTGAAGGTTTTCCATGGTGGTCTAGCTTCAATTGACTCATGATTTCAATTATGAAAATTGTTAAAATCTCCACAAAAAACCCCTTCTGATAATAATCATATGCTTATTAGTGACTGGCTCCAAGAGATCAATTTTATCTTTTAAAGATTAAAAATACAAACATTAATTTTCATTTTATTTATTTGTAATGAATAGTGGTTAAAAACGGGATCCAAAAAGCATGTTTCATCCTATTTGGGACGAGTCAGATGGATGTACCTGCATCCCACGGTTAATGTTCACCTTGGGACACACTTCATGAACAACTCAGCTTAGCTTCTTAAGAACAGGTGGAATGGTATGCGGATATATAATAGGTCAGCCTTGATCAATTGTATTTCTAATGGGGATATATGATAACCCAATCATTTATGCATATTCTATTGGTTGAAATCTAATAGATGAGAAAATAATATTGTAAATTATCAACAAAAACATTATCCTAGTGACGGATGGAGAACATCTCAGCATATTTGCAAATCTCTGATTTCAGTTTATCAGAGTAATTTCTTAATAACTTGACAAATATAAGATAAATTGCTTGTCTTGATGACAGTTTCAGCTATCAATGTTTGTTAGTAGTTTATTACTTAAGTAAGTAAAAAATGGGATGTCATTTACGAGTAGCTAAGTGGATCTAAGCTTTAAGTTTTTAAAGATAACGACTGACAAAAATACATTTCTAATGGTCTGATACATAAAGATTAATGCATGTGTTCTAGGAAATAATTATGATCTTTAAGTAATGATAGATTGTGACTAACAGTAGAGTCAAGGGAGCGCGTATCACCCTATTTGGGAATCGTCAGCTGTACTCAGTAGCTATGTGGATAACGTGATGAATTTTAAAGCGAATGGTACTGGGTTCGAGTCCCAAAGTGAACATCAACTCTGAAATGCATATACATGAAGCTGACGAGTCTCAAATAGAATGAAACATGCGTTTTGGATTCCAATGCTATCCACTATTCATCTTTGCTTATAATGCTTGTGAATTAAAGCTATATCGAAGCAATCCATACAGAATCTAAATATGAACATTTTGGTTATAGAAATTTTTTGGTTATGACATCAACGTATAAAATACCAGACATAAT